TTTATGTTCACGAACGTCGGCATGAGCGGGTCCTCGAGCAGGAGCGGGTCGTTCAAGCGGCCGGGTCTCGACGGGAGCACGTCTTCGACACCGTCGCCCGCGCCTGACGCAAATCGAAAGAAGTTCGATTCACTCCGCCTGCCCTCGCAGGGCGGCGTCGGCTCAAAGCTCGCTCAGGTGCACACGCCGGTCCCGTCGGTGATGACGCCGACGGGCGTCATGGCGCAGCGGACGAAGAAGCGGGCGATGTCACCGTCCTCGCTCAACAAACTCCAGGCGAAGGTCCTCCGTGCGAAGCTGATGAGCGACCCGAATGCCGAGGTGCTGGAGAAGGAGTACGAGGAGGAGCTGAAGCGGACGAACGATCCCAGTGCTGATGAGGGCGAGACGCAGGTCGAGCTGTTGCCCACGCTGGACGTGCACGGGAACTTGTACGATGTCGGACAGGGCAAGGACGATGGTCAGCTGCTGCCAGGGAATCGCAAGAAGAAGGAGAAGGCGCGTCTTTCCTTCTGCACATGAGCATTTATTTAACAGTATGCGACTCTAGGTTGAGCAACGCGACCCGAAGACTGGCGAGATCATTCGCATCAACGCCGACGATGACGACATCACACTCGGCGAGATGCTGCGACAGGAGCGGTTCAAGTCTGGGGCTGCTGACCAGAAGAATCTGGACGAAGAGTTCGCACGAGCAATTGCTACTGATAGCGGCTTCGTTGCAAACTTAGACTACATGGATGACAATGCGGAGAAGCTCGGTCGTAAGAAAATGCGTTCGGATGCCATGAAGAGGCAGTTCGCCATCAATGGTATGTCACCGTTTAGCGCCCGTTCTCCTTAAGCTCACGCGACTCTTCAGATTACAAAAAGACACAGCAGGTCCTTGCCACGTGTCCATTCTGCTACGGAGAAGACGACTCGCCACCTAAAGCACCAGTCGTCGCCATGGGTACCCGTGCCTACCTGTCGTGCTTGCTGAACGAGGAACTTGTCGAGGGCCATTGTCTAATCGTTCCCATACAACATCATCTGACTTCACTCGAGGCCGATGACGACGTTTGGGATGAGATTAAGGTGAGTCAATATCTCTTCGTATGTACTTTCAATGCTGATGCCAGTCCCACAATCTACTAGAACTTTATGAAGTCCCTCATGAAGATGCATGCGGAGCAGGACAAGGGCGTAGTCTTCTATGAAACAGTCATCAGTCTCAAGCACCAGAAGCATACATACATAGAATGTGTCCCGCTTCCCTGGGAACAATTCGACCAAATCCCAGGCTACTTCAAGGTACGCCCCATGTCCATGCTGTGCCGTTCACGGAATGATTGAACGCGTCCTAGGAATCGATCCTCATGTCCGAAGTAGAATGGTCGCAGAACAAGAAGCTGATTGACTTCAGCCAGCGCCGTGGGGGCTTCAGGCGGTCGATGGTGCCCAACCTGCCCTACTTCATGGTCCAATTTGACTACAAAGGCGAAAAAGGATATGGACATGTCATCGAGGGCACTGGCGAGGCGGCCGATGCGGGCGATGAAGACGGGGCGATAGACGAGGGTGGCAAAGGCAGCGGTGAATTCCCGCGGTGAGTCTACTTTTTATCGCTCATGATGAGCTGTGGTACCATGCTGCAACGCTGACGAACGTTGCAGGTACTTCGCGACAGAGATCATCGGTAACGTCCTCGACCTCGAGCCGAGGAAGTGGAGACATCCGCGGCGGGTCGACTTCACATTCAACAAGAATAGGGTCGCGAAGTTCCGGAAGCAGTACGACAAGTATGACTGGACGGTGATGATCGCGAAGCAGCCGGAGGTAGCATCGTAGGATGAGTGTGCAATTATATTACCTGTTGTATATTTGGAAGTGACGCTCGGCTTGGCGTTTGAAGAGCTCTCAAATTCTCAGCGGACATATCAATCAATGGAGCTTGTCATGTCCCTTTCACTAGCACTGGCGTTGTGGCGCATTCACCGGTGTTCGAGTACGAATCTCAAGCTGTCTCAAGCCCTCGCTGTCCCGACTGTGGAGATCGCACCTTGTAAGCGCAACTCGCAGCCGGGCCAATGCTACTGGCGATGAACCACCAGAGTGCCTCCTCAAGTAGGGATTGCTCCGCATATAGCCAGCGGACGCTTGTTCTTCAGCGACAGTCACCCGACGCTTGCTACCACATACTCTGCTACTATCATTACAACCCAGAAAACGGCTATAATGGACGACCGCGGGCACGAACACGCCAGTCATTACCAGGGCAAGGTACGATCTAATGACCTCTCATAGCATCTGTTTGGGATGATTGGCGTCATGTGCTGTTGCATAGCCTTTCTCCGGGCCGGACCAGGCAGCCGCGGACGGTGTCACTAGCCAGGACGCAGCCAAGAGTCTAAGACGGTGCGAAACACCTCGAACCAAGAGGTCGACGCGACAAGGGAAGGGAAGGATCCTCCAAAGGAAGGATTTGTGAGCTGCAGCATGGCATGGTGCACGCAGTCTATTGCTAACGGCGTCTTATGTTCTCATGATCGCGACCCAAATGCACATATTTAGTCGAGAGAGCCTGCACCGGGCAGCGGACACGTTAGCCAGAGCCCTGTCCACCAGCGTAAGTACTCCCAAGTTAAAGACTGCTTTCTGCTGGCATATTTATTCTTCCTGCAACCGAGGATGCACAATACATCACCAGGTTCGAGGACATGAACAAGGGTCTCTCGGAGGAGATGGACAAGGAGGTGGACAAGCGGGTGCAGACCTCGTAAACTACGAGAGAATGAGACCATCAGTGTCC